TGCTGGTGAAAAAATGTGGCACGTGCATCTCTGCAGCTTCGGCCCGTTTCATGGCCCGCTTTGCAAGTCTTGCAGCCGGTCTTGCTGGTGTTCCGATGAACCGAAGGTGGGACATGTTTTCGGGCTGCGGCTATGGAGGCTTGCCTTGCTCCCAAAGAAGTCGATGGGATATCATGGAAATCCACAGGTTACAGTCGCACCCTCAAAAAAGGATCCCGCAAGAATATCAAGCACTAAATAATATGATGTATAGCTGTGTCAGGTGTAATATAGTTTGCGTTTAGTTTTTTCCAACGTTTTTCTGCAATCACCTTGAACATTTGAACCCTGGTTACCGGGGGCGCCTGCGGAGCCAACGGCAGGTGTCATGACCGCCTGGTGTGATGCACCAGGACCCGGGCGAGCCGGAATTTGGCGGGGCTCCTGATGGTTTGCTCATGTTTGGCCAGAAGAAATGCATGCGTGTCATTTCCTGTCAGATGTAAAATGTTCCCATGTTTTCACAAAATTAGTCAAAATCGACACGAAATGACACGCGTAGGGGTTCTCCAAAAAGCACCCGACACGTTTCTAAGGGGTGCTTATTGGACACCCCCTATCGACTGACACGACGCGGCAATGACACGAAATGACACGCATTTCTGGAAGCAAACGCGGGGAAATCAAAGAAACATGCACATACTATATGAATACCTCATGATCTGTTAGTTCAGGACCTAATTAAGGGGTGCCTAATGGACACCCGTTCTAAGGGGTGCTTATTGGACACCCGTTTGGACATCCTGGAGTGTATATATTAACTATATATGTCACCTTATATTACTAGACTATATAACTATATTATGTAATGTTGACATAAGGAAAAACATGGAAAACACATGAAAACACTAACCTGTGCATACCTATGCTTCGTAGGTCAGTATGGTGGCATATGGTGGCCATTTTTGACCAGGCTCAGCACCGGTGCACAGCATCGAGCCAAGCACCAAGGCAGTGATGTGCTTGGTGTTGGCAAAAATGGGTTGCAATATTGTGCCCTGAAATGTTTGATAAATGGATGTGTATAGCTGGTAACTTGATGTTTTTTCGCTGATTAATGGATGTTTATTCAAGTCTATTTGCCAAAATCATCCCAAATCATGGTAATTAATGATCTAGGTTTTAGTTTTGGCCCATCCCCATATGTTGGAATTCTTGAGCATGGCGCCAAGAAGGGTCGGGACAAGCACCTGAAGTGCTCGGGCACAGCATAGACCACGTGTCACTTGGTTGGATAGGAGGATAATGAGGTCGCATGTCTTCCAAAATTCATTATATACGGTACACAATTCAACATATTCAACTCTGCAGTCCAACTAACATCAACTAACACTCTCTTTGGAGGGGGGGATCTTTTTGGTTCATTCTGTTGGTCACAAGTGATTGGAATCGTTACGAATCGTTGTCAGGTGGCATGCCCAAAGTGTGGCGATGCGCTGCTGCCTGACTCCAAGTTCTGTAGACATTGTGGGTGTCTTGGCGATTCGGTTTCTATGGGCTACGTCCTGCGGGAGTGAGAACGGCCTTAATTTTTGTAACGGGACGGAAAGTCGGTTGATTCATGAGCAGTATCCATCAACCATCATCAACCACTGCAGCACGGCCGTTGTGCCCCCTTTTTTGGATGTTTCTTGATACTGTTATATCATCCCGATCTTTTTCTCCAAGAAGTATGAGAATCAGATCGCACAGCGCTCCAAATTTCCATGATGGACATCCATTGATCGAAACCGTCAAATTGAGACACAAGTTGCCCCTTCCCACTGGCTTTGCGCCGGCCGCGGCGGTTGCATTGCCAGAGGCGGGCGCCTTGGTGGCTTGTATCGGATTTGTGCCCTGATCCTGAGATTTTTCAGGGAAGCAATTCACGTGAAAGCGTAAGTCAGAAGTCCTATGGATGCCTATGGGCCTATGCTAGCCTATGCCTATACCGTGCCTATACCTTTTTTTTTTCCCCTCATTTTTTCCGATTTTGGGAGGTTGGGCCCACTGAACCCCTCACCTGCAGGATGGGACTTCTCAGGATGGGCTGCAGTTTCTCTGCGGGGAAGCCTAGGAAGTGATCCTACACCTGGGAGATTGAATTTGAACAGACCACTTAGACTCAGGTACCATGAGAGCACTGCAGAGTGCATTTTTGTCCTGACCTTTTGTGATTCCTGGCAGTTCTTAATTTTTGCCATGCAGAACCAGCTGTAATGAGGCAGATGATGCTTCAGATATGCAGATGATGTTCCCGACTTGTCCGCAGGTGCCAAATACTCGGCCCTGATCACACGTCTTCGAGAGGAGGTCAACGGGCCCAAAGATGGTGGAAGGATCCCGGAACCTGTTGCTCATCTCAATCTCCCAAAGTTGGTTGACTAAACTTGACTAAAGCATACAAAACCCCAGCTTTGGTTAAACGCACAGGGCCTGTCCAACAGTCTGGCAATATCTGGTTATTTTTTGTTGGTAAAGCAATAGTCATCCATCCCCAATTTTACAACATTTATGGTATAAATCATCAATTTTTGGGTGGTTTATTATTGCTTCACTAGGATAATTAACCGTCAATACCCACCATTATACGCATAATTATCACTATTAGCCATTAATAATCATTAAACTTAAACACAAATCAATCATGATTCATCATAGTTAACTTATTTAAACCATATTAAAACCATCATTGATAAACCATGATTAATCATGATTAACCATGATTAACCATATTAAAATCATCATTAATAAACATATTAAAACCATTATCAACCATCAATAAATCATTGATTCCCCATGTGGCAGGTCCTTGCGCATCAGCAGTCGCAAGCTGAAGCGCGACGATTGGAACGACGGCTGCGTACCTCGACGCCGTGACAGATGGCAAGGGTGAGACGAATCTGTAGATAGAATGTAGAAACAAACAATGCCATAAACCACCCATGACTGAGAATGGTTTATATACCACCTGTAAAATGGTGATGACCGGGTGATGGTTCATGATTCTTTTAGATCATGAGTAGATTATAATGATCCACATGATCCACATGAATCCAAATGATCCAAAATCTGGCATATTATATAATCATAACTGGAAGATCTTGTGGACTATAGTTTTTTAAATTAATAATTCATGGAATGTTTTTTTGTTTTTACGCATGCATCATACATAGTTATTTATTCTATTTTTTTATTTTCCTGTATGCCAAAGATCATGTTATGTGGGATTACTTGGTTGCATAGCTCAAAATTGTTGAACAATTACCATCATATTCTGGATGGTTTCCTCCACCGGAAATATTCAAGTGAGCAATGTCGTGGGCCAGAATTGCAGCTAGCGACTCGCGATAATTTTCAAATTTCTATGGGTAGAGCATGATTATCATGATTCAAATTCTGTATCTCAAAGAAATTTGGAGAAACAGAGGACAAATCTGTGGTTGCTCGGGTCCACTGAGAGACACATCCGAGCAGCCGAGGTGATGAGTCTCAAATCTGGGCCAAGGTGGCTGTGTTTTGTGGCAGCACGGTGGGGCTGTGTGAATGTTGGTTACCGATGGTCATGGGACCATGACCCAATTACATCGTTTATATCAATAACATATGATCCCGCATATTCGCGAACGAGTTCCAAACATCAATCTAAGGATGAAAAACTCAGTTCTATCTAGTTTGCACAGGGAAAACCATCTTACATCTTCTCAAATTGATGGTGTTGCTCTAGATTTTTTCGGGTCACCAATGGCACCGGTCCAGGAAAAGGAGCAGCTGATGCGCGAACAGCAGTGCCTCCAGGATGAAATCGCAAGCCTCAAGAGCCAGCTCTACGGAGGGAGGCCGCCCAAAACAGGGCATGGGATTTTCACCATCGAAACTTGGGAAACCAAGCGGTTGAAGTGCCATTAAGGAAAATGGATTGATTAGGATTTCATGATCTATTTATTAAACATTCACGATTTTTGACATTTTTTTTGGGAGGTACCTTTGCCCTTATACAGTATATTTATTCTAGAGTTTAGGGTCTTGTCTTGTTTCCCTCCAACAGCCCTACCCTTTGGTAATTTAACATGGTTATTGAAACTAAACATGGCCATTGAGTTCGGTGATTTACCTATGAAACATGGTGATTTTAGGTCAGAGGGTTTGCCAGTCCTGGCCTTTCCTCGGCCAGGCAACACGACTTGAACGGCAGTCGCTGTGGGATGGCCAGGTTTCTCGTTTCCGTTGGCACAGCGTTTGGGCAGGGTGACCTGACAGCGATGGAGAGAGAGAGAGAGAGACATTGGAATTATTATATGGTATTCCAATGATATATGGTATAAGATATTGGAATACCATCATCAAGCTGTATTACTTTAATTATTGTGCCATCAAGTAATATATTATGTTGAAAAGGAGTGAGAGGAATCAGAGGTGATGTAAACCACCACATTCTGGTGAATCGCAGCATGACCAAATATGACCAACTGGGTTGATGGTTTTAGTGGTGCTTTGCTTGGTCTATCCCAAAAAAGGTGGATGCCATGGGTTCACATTGCTTGGCTGATGAAGGCAGATTGCCAGGCTAGCCAAAGTTTCAGATGCATTCTCTGATATTTGTAATTCTGGAACACTTATCTACTACAGGTGCAGGTGCACTTGCTAGCTCACTGTTGTCGCTGTTGTGCAGTGTAATTAGAGATTCAACAGCTGAAGCTTCACAAGCATCAACGCTGGCAGGGAGCCAACTGCCGCCAACCAACTGCGGTACCAACACGAGGCCGGGCATTTTTGGCAACATAAGGTTGTGTTTAGTGGCCGTGGATGAAATGTTTGCACGTATGGGATTACAGATTTTGGTTGATATGTGTACAAATTGGATTGTACTTGCTAGTTCTTAAATGTCCTTAGTATGAGCATGCTCGAACAACCCCATTTGGAGGGTTGCGCTTCGAATTCTTTCAGCTGCAAAGGCACAGCATAAGCAGCACCAGCAGATGATGACGCTCCTGAATGAACATAGCCAGCTTCAGGCGCACCAAGTCTGGGGTCACCACAGTCGCTGAATAGTCCTATCGGGGCCTAAGATTCAAATAGCCTCCGATTCAAACCTTTGGTTTCGTAATGGATCTATTCATTTCGAGGTACGTACACAGGCTACACAATACTAGTGCCATGGGATTACTTGGACTTCAATTTATGGGCACCACTTTTGCAGGATTTCAATTCGTCGAGATTTTGACATCTGTTGGCGCGTGAATATGCGTGAATGCTGCAGAAGGCTCAGTTTCAAACTGACGCTATGAAAGGCTTCAGTAGTGGTTCTAATTGCTCCCAACCACACCTAGCAGCTACTATGTTACAACACCCGTACTATCATACTGATCCACACCTTTGCTGCCCATGCTACTTGGAATGTGACATTCTTATACATTCTTCCCGTGGGCGTTCTCGTTCCACGTTCCACGTGAGATTCCACGTGGTTTCTGCCGCAGTTGGAAGAGCGCACTGCTCAAGACGAGTTGAATGCTTGCCGCGATCATCTCTCCCGTTGGGGAGCTCAGGAGGACATCCCATAGGAATGGATGGATTTCCCAAGGGAGTTCCAGTTTCCATTGGGCCCTTTTGGTACATGTAACGACGATAGATTATAGAATATAGAATCCATTAGAATCCATTAGAATCCATTAGAATCCATTAGAATCCGTTTTTTGTCAAGAGTTCCCCTCACGGTTTCTTTATAAAGCATCCTAAGTTACTACTATAACTGACTATAACTATGTATCATATATGTATATATAACTGTAAATTCTTCCTAACCCATCAGAATCCATATAAGAATCATTTCTGTGAATTGATGGACCCACGGCCCCCGATTCTGGCTGCTTGGTGTAAAAACTTGGGATCAAACTATGGGATCCTCAGTGAAGCTACCAACAAACAGGGACAAAGCCACTGTGAGAAACTGTGGGAAATGGAAAAAGCGGAAACATTCTAATGGTTGGGGCAAAAAAAAGCATAGCCAGAGAATGGCGAATAGCCAGAGAATGGCGAATAGCCAGAGAAGACTAGCAAAGGAATAAGAGGAGAAGACGACATAGTTGTAGGCAACTTCAGTGGCATGCACTTATTGCAGACCATTTGAGTAGGCGTATACTGCTTTAGTAGCCATTAGATAAACCGTTTTGGTAACTCTAGACCATTTCAGTGGCAGCTACTTACTATTAGTTTACAAAGTATAGTTACTATCATCCTCCCCAAATTTTACTATTACTTTCTATTTAGTGTACTATTAAACCATATTAAACCCATAGCTACAATCCCCCGACCGTGGGACCCTCCCTCAACGTCCCCAGCTCTGAGAAACCCCGAGGCTGGCGTCGAAAGGCCACAGATTTGGAGAGCAAGGCCTTGGAGGCGGAGCAGCAGCGCAGCGATGCGGAGAAGAAGGTGCCACTGGGGCCACCGTAAAATCAATGGTAATTCCAGGATCCTAAATTGGAGGTACTGTACCATATAAGGCCATATTTTGTGTGTATATTCCCTTACATAGGCCTTATATAGGCCTTATATATAGTAGGTACCTCCAATTTAGGATCCTGAAATTCCCATCGATAAAATGGGAAGTGAAATCATGCGAAAATTTCTAGGGAATGAGTTCCCAATCAATGGGCTGTGGGAAATTGAGAACTTCTAGGAATTTTGGTGATACCCCCAAAATGATAGAAGTCTAAGAAAAAACACTCTTATATCCACTCTTCATTGTTCTATCTGTTTAGGTTGTTATAAGGAAGCTTGGGAAACTCCAGCCAACAAGTTGTTGGGATAATAATGTTGGATATACATGATTATACCATGACATACCCTTGGTTTATTTGACATAGCCATGCAAGTTTTTAAAATTCTAGGCTATATCTGTATACATAATAGCAAAATCTATGGCAATGTAAAATTACCAGGGGGTAATCAGTTGGGAAAAACAAAAGTACTATATAAGTTGGGAAGTATCTTAATTTGGATATTCTTTGGGTTTGTCTATACGCAGGGTATAGCCACACATTACAACCTTTCAATGAATTGAACATGATGATCAAGCTGTTGATTTTGGGGCACCTGACTTGCAGACAAACTCAATGGTTTCATTTTCGCATATAATGCGAACCATTTTGCCAACTTAATACTCACTTGAGAAACGCTGAGAATTTTTTGTCATTGGGATATAGCATGAGACAATCCACTTGGATATGTTGATGGGACACTTGATGATGAAGATGAAGGTCGATCTATCCTGATCTACCTTAACATACCTTAACTAGCGGTGTAACGGTGTAACTAACGATCCACCATCAGATGAGGGATATGTTCATATCAAGAGAGCATATCTATATTGTTTTGGCATTGATCTAAGGTTTCAGTTAAAGAGACATACATATTGAGAATGTGATTCGATCTACTAGTGTGGATTGTTAGGGGGTATGGTATAGTGAACAATCATTGTTGGTATATATTGATATCAAAATCTGCGGTTGCAGATTGGTCAAAATTGAGTTCGACCTTGAATCTTTGGAACCAGTACTCCGGCGCAAGCCCAATTTCTGGACACAAGATGACACCTAGCATTGCTGCTAAAAAACATCCCTGCTGTCACAATTCGCCCCAGGCACGTTGCGCGCAAGTGTCTTGGATTCAATAAATCAATGGATACGTTCAAGGGAAAAAAAATCTTATGTAAACCAATCCATCGAAGCAAGAATCTTGGATGGTTTTGTTGAGCTTGGTTGTTCTTTTCCATACGGTAGGTAGTCCTCTCTCTTTACTGCTGTGGACACCTCTGAGCCTCAAGTTTTGCCTTGGACACTGCCCTGCGATGCTAAGAATCACACTTAACTACTTCAAGTGAGACGCTTTGGTCTAGCACTTTCCGGACATGCTCTTGGCCGGTCTATCTTGCACCCTCATCAATGATCATTAATATGGCATTGGAAGGGGAAATTCCTGAGGAATGAAGCGGTTTTTCTCCCCCTAGCGCTCCTATGATTTTGTGGATCACCCATTTCGTTACACCCTGAGACCGGAGCTTCCAATGAAGACCGAGGAAGAGATGCGTCAAGCCCTACGGAGCTTAAGCGGGGCCAAGAACCGGCAGAGGGAAGCGGAGAAGTTGGCCAAACAGGTAAGGAAGACGTGGCGTCTCGCAGTCGATGTTGGAAGATCATGAGCTGATATATATATATAATTATATATATACACATACACATAAACACACACACACATATATATATATATATATTGTGAGTCCCTTGAGATCTCAACACTGGCAACGGGCTTCCGTTCCTCCTCCCAAAGTGCAAGACCTGTGCGCCTTCTTTTCCCCAACAAAGGCGACAAGTCCACGGCAGCTCGAATGGAGCAAAAGGCTCCCAGGCAAAAGGTGGTCGGCTGACCTGCAGGCAGAATTAGGTTGCCTTCCTGGCAAATGGTATGGCCCCGGGCCAAAGCAGTAAACAGGTGAGCGTCCACGCTCAAGTCTATGGCTCAAATGCACTGGAAGAAACCCTCCCACCGGCAAAACCCTTATGGCCCTCCTGAGCCCCTGAGTGCTGGCGGACAAGTGGTTTTGTTTACCCCTTTCTTACACTGGTTATTGACCTTGGGATTATGAAGTGGAAAGGTAATGCAATGATATTGAATCACACTCCCAAAAAATCGAAATTTTCAAGGAAACATGTATCATTGCATCCTGAGCCATGTTGATGGTTGCTCTCGCCCTTCAGCCATCGGAGTCGATTGCGCGAAGACGCACGGCTTTTCAGGACCTCAAGTTCATCATGGAGTTTGTATTGACCTATCCTTAGGGTTTCACGTAAAAATGTATTTTCCATTACCTTAGTAAGTGCATCAGCTAATTGGGCTCCACTGTGAACCCATCTTAGAGATTCCCCTTCGGACATGAGATCTTTGATTGCACGTGCAGTCAGCTGAGTGCGAAATTCGGCACAGTTTGGCACTGCTGTGCGAGTCACCAAATCAAACAAGGACTTGCAGTCGGTTGCTGCAAACGTTTCGGGAAGCTCCTGTGCCTTCAAGGTTGCAGTGGTGTAAGTTTCTGGAAGTTTTTCAAAAGCAAGTTTGGGATCTTTCCATGGTGTTCGTGGGTCTTGGATCCATGCCCAGCAAAGTCTTACCCAGGACAACTGGTCTAGTACTGAGTTCAACGATGTGGTTTCGGCTGCCAAAGTACTGGTAACTATTCGTTGTATTTTCTTACAACCCCATGACACCGGATTTACGGGACACCTGATGTTACATCCAATGTCTTTGTGGGTGGCCATGATCAAAGTACCAGTATGAGAGTTGGGATTACTCTTTGAGGCAAAGGAAGCATCTGAAAACGCAAGGAATCGCAAGTCTTTGGTGGAAATTTGTTGAATTTTTATGGTCACATCATGGTGTTTCTTTGCTTCGTGAAGTGCTTGGTTGGCTGAGACTAATGTCTCAATGGTGGCGCTGTTGATGGCTGATTGGAGCATGCTCAGTCGGCTTGACAAGTCTGGCCGGGTGTGCACTGCCGCATATTGAATGCTGCCAATGAGGGCTCTCAGCTGTTGACGTTCATCCTCAGTTACCTTCTGGTCAGGTTGTTTTCTCCGTTCGGGAAGTATCTTGATTGGTTCAATGGCACGAATGTATTTGGATTGTGACAAGTGGATTGTTCCGTCAGGTGTTTGTTGCATGTCGATACCTGTGAAAGTGAATTGACCCATCCGTTTGGTTCCAAAAGGATACTTCTTTTCCAACAAGTCAATCTTTTGGCTGAACCGCTCATTTCCAGCACACAAGCCAGCGTCGACATGGAGACCCAGGATTCCATCCGGCAACAAGGTGTCTGGATTTCGAAGCACAAACAGGCAGGGGTCGAACGGTGACTGTTCGAATCCCAGTCCGAGCAACTCCTCAAGGATGGCTTGGAACCACATGTATGGTGCATCAACAAGGCCATAGGCGCCCTTTTCCAATTTGCAGATTTCTTGGGGCTTCAAGTTCATCATATTGATAATTTCGGCAACTGGTTCTATTGCTAAAACCCTGTCTTTCTGGTTCTTCCCTTGGAGGAATGCCGCCTTGATATCAAAAGACCTGAGGTTCCAACCCATGGATGCTACTACTTGTAGAAGTAGCATCTTGGAATGTCTCCCCAACGTTGGTGAATCCCTTGGAACTTCTGCAATTTTTGGGTCAAGGTACCCCAGGATCACTAACCGTGCCTTGGCCTTAACATCCTTGGTCCCTTTGAGTTGTTCTTTCTCTTGTTGATCGATTGGTTTCCATGTGAGTATCCATCTACATCGAAGGATCTGATCAGGGGGTACTTTATCCCGCAAGATTCTGGAAATGGTACCTGTCTTCAACCAGTTACTGATCTCATTTTCCTTGGCCTTCTGGAATTCAGCCTTTTCAGAAGGACTGAGTGTGGTTAATTTCACTTCAGCTCTTTGGCGCTTGGCGGCTGTTGCAAGAAAACCACATGCCTCAGGCTGATCTTCATTTTTCCATGCTTCAATGTCATGTTCATGAACATAGAATGCACAGTGCCAAGCCTGGTCGTGATCTAGCTGGATGGATTCGGGTTCCACGTCCATGCAATGCAGGCCCTCGCATACCAAGTCATCCTCTTCCCCTGACTCTGCCGGCACAGGTGTGTTTTGTGCCATGTGTTCTCGTGCCATGTCTTGTTCTGGGTTAAGGACACCTCCTGGTGTTGTGGTATTGGTCTGCTGTCGTGTCGGGGTACTCCCTTGACTTTCCCCCTCAGATCGTTGGCTTCCTGGTGCACCGGGTTGTGCATCAGGTTGTACTTCGGATTGGTTATCGGGATTATTGAGCATTCCTTGGTCGAGTGGTTGGGGTGTAATGTTATCTGGAACATTATGGACTGGTGGTAGGGTTACATCAGGTTGAGGATTATGGGTAATTGTGGGATTTTGATGTTCAGGGTTATTTGATGGCAGTTGCTGGGCAATTGTTGATACTGATGGCTCATTGGGTAATATCACAATGCTCTTGGCTTCCATTGCAGAGACAGGTCGGATGTGCTCGGGTGCGGCTCGGTAAAGCTTTGTGGCCATGGTGGTCCACACGGTTTGGGCATTTTCATGCACAACCGCTTTCATCGGGCCAGTCCATTGGTCACTGGCTGCTCCTCTTCCCTGACGCCAAACCATAACCCATTCCCCTGGGAGATATTTTCGGTTAACCCCTTGGGATTTCCTGAGTATGGATCTACGGAGGGCAGCATCGTGATCCACTTGAACAAAAGCTTTCCGTGCGCTCTCGCGTCGAGCCAGTTGCAACCTAAACTGCACTCCCTGGGCCGTCTCGGAGTCAGCCAGCATGTGGGCAGGCAGTAATTCATCACTGCAATTTGATCCCGGCAAGCGTGTTTGCTTGCCGAGCACAAGAGTTTCAGGTGCATACCCTTTTCGGATACTGTAGGCATTTTTGGCTTGAACACACCACCATAAACCCTGTTTCAGTTCATGATATGTGTCAATGGCATGTTCCTTTTCATACTTTGACAACATACTTTGCAAGATATACCCATGTCGTTCGGCTTTACCATTTTGGAAATGGGCTTCCGTGCTGATGGTCGTCAAGTGTATGTTATGAGCCTGTGCAAAACTGGTCACTTCTTCAGAGTTGAGTTCCGTGCCTGCATCCACAACTACTTCATGAGGTGTGCCGGCCCACATCAACCAGGACTGCAGGAAACATTCAAGGAAAGCATCAGCAGTGCGGGATGGAGCCACGCATGCTACCTCGAAGCTCGTGGCACTATCTACAAAGTGATACACATGAAACCCTTTTCCCCGTGCATTCGTCCATGAAAACCCATCCACATGAATACGGTCGTTGAAATCTAGCTCATCACGCAAGCTTCCATGTGGTCCATGTTTGGGCATCTTCTGAGCCTGGCAAACTGAGCATTTCATCTCAAGTGCTGCACGTGCAACTTCTGGCCGAAACCCTTGTTGGCGAATGATGCTGCTGAACTTCTCTGCATGAGGGTGACCTAGGTTCTTGTGTGCACGGATGAGTGCTTGCTGTTCATCTTTGGTGATACTCCGGAAATGGGCTGACTGAGTCGGAGATTCTGCATCTGCCTGTTGGGATTCGGTCAGCATCGGATTGGGACTTGTCTGGTCCTCTGCATGGGAGTGCTTCGACTCCTCGGCTTTTGGTGTTTCCACCGTTGGGGAGGTCTGTGAATTACTAGGAGGCTGTGTCGTTGCATCTGTCCATTGGAACTTCGGGATTGCAAGCGAAAACTGTCATATTCAAGCGGCACGGGTGTGACGATCGAATCAGCTGTCGGTTTGACAATTCTTCCCAAGCTTCCCAAGCTTCTTCGGCCTTGATTTTTCCAGACTCTCTATTAGTGAAAACACATCTTCGGTATGGTGCCTCCCCTTTCATCATGGTTTTGGGGGGGGCGATAGTCCTATTCGTCCCACGGCACACGATTATTTTCCGGATTATCTTGCCCTCCATAAGTGTTTGGACCTTACTTATGATTTGGGGGTCATGAACTTCAACCTTGCCAACCCTTGGTGCAATCTGTTGCAAACCCTGGAAAACTTCCTGCCACTGAGTGTCGGTATCAGTTGGAGGTGTCTTAGTGGTTAGTTTACAACGTTTACCCCATGGTAGCTGGTCTACTTCCCGTGCTCTGTTGACCTTCAGTTTTGCTTGAGAACAGCGCTTTGGGCGTTTGGACAGTCTCTCACCACGGTCGGATTCGTTGGCAAGGGTCCAAGACCAAAGTGTTTCCTCCTCCTGAAGGAGATAGGGTTTCTCATTTGGAATCCGCAGGCGGCATAGGCTCTTGGCCACACGTCGGGCAAACTTTCTGGGATAGTGTTCAGTAAAAGTGGTTCTCAACATTGGACTTCCATTCACTTGGCAAGAACCTGACACCGTTGATGCTGATGTTGTCCTTGACACTTCAGCCCTTCCAGGTCCTGATATAGGCCCCGAGAAGAAGTCATGATGGTCAATGACTTTCGCATGTGCAACTGTGTATCAGGATCTTTGAGATCCCCTGCCGTGCAAAGGTCTACATCCAACGCAAGTAACTTCTGTCGAATTTCTTGCATGTAAGGAAGTTTGAACATGTGAGAATTCCTTGGTTGTTCCCAGTGAAAATGCCTCTGTTGGTTTCTCTGAGACCTCATCAAAACAATTCCTAAAGCAACTTGGTCTATGTGTTGAAGTCGGCATTGTTGAAGGTTATCCCATGATTCAATGGACCGGCTACCATTCAAATTAGACCAACTACTCCAGGGACCGCATTTGGGGCTAAACCAAACATGCCGAGGCCGATGTGTGTTGAGGACAGTAAACAGTCGAGCTCTGCCCTCGACAGTTTGCAAATCACCCTCAGCGAGGCCGAAGCGCATTGCTCGATGCCCAAGTTGCTGGCACTGATGTGTCAGCTGGCTGTGAGGCCCACAGAACACTTCCAACACATCAATGGGCTTTTGAAACCTATTGGTTGGCGGTTCACATGTTTCAAGCTCCCTAGACATTTGGATGAGTAGTTTGTTGAACAACTTTCGCTCCACATTAGTTTCGGGGGCTTCCATGAACCTATCATGTTCAGTGGCATCCAGGTCGCCAGCATGCATGGCATGTGCCCAGCATGGACACGTCTCTAAGCCTGTTCGGCATTGGGTTGGATGTTTTCCAACAGGGTGATGATCTGAGACAAGGTTGTCTCCACATGCAGCATCCGATGTTCCAGATGCGAGATATCAGGATTGTTGCCCTCGGGGGCAGCCACGCTCAGACCCATCTCGGCCTCCTCCGTGAAGATCTCGTACTCCTCTTCCGTCGCATCCCAAACTGTGGTGGCCTCGACTAGAGGCTGCATGGCCCTCTTGGGCATGGCTTTGGCCTTGGTCATGGCCATCGAGCTCTTGGGTGCTGTGCCCTTGGTCAACGGCACACTGGTTCCATTCATCTCGGTTTTCTCGATCATCAGCTGGATGTAGTAGAGCATCTTCTGGTGGCTTTCCTTTCCCGACTTCTCGTATCGACCCGTGAACCATAGGATCCAGTCTTGATGATTGACCCACATCTCGCGATAGGTCTTGCCACTGTGGGCCTGACCAAAGTCGACCCGCGTCTCTTCCAGTTGGTTGAGACTCAAATGGCTGAAGTCCATCTTCACGGTCTCGGTGGGCACTTGGATCTGTTTCAGTCTCTGGCATAAGCTGGACATTGCCATGTCGCTTTGGAACTCGGAGGCTACGGGCAAACTGCGTATGCTTTGAGCTGCTGGGATCTGGCGGATCCATCACCTCTGTACATGATTTCTCGGCTGGAAAAAATTCCTCAGTCATGTTGGTATGAGATTTACTTGAACTGTGTGTTGCGTCATGTGGAGTCGAACATGTCATGGTGGTCGTGCGTGTGGTGTGTTGTGACGGCGTCATGGATGTGTTGTCATGGGTGACATCGGACGGTGGTGGCTTTGGACATTCCGGCTCTGTACAATTCTCAGCAGGCACATTTTTGGTCACTTCGGACACTTGGTGCGTCTCGGCAGCATGCTTGGACACGGTCGTATCCACTAAGTCAATAAGATCCAAAAGAAACAACCCTTTTCCTGTGAGCTGAATGGGGATTGTTTTCCCAATTTTGGCTGCATAGATAGTCTTTCTGCTGGTATCTATCACTGCCCCAATTGCTCTCAGTAGGGTGTTTGACAAAAGGAATGGTGTTGACCCTGGCACGACTGCGATCTTTAACCATAAACCATGAATGGGAATGGCTAAGGCATGCTCACTCTTAAGTGTCCCCTGGTTACCGAATCTGAAGGTGATGGAACATGGGCATCTTCTGACTGATTGGCGGGCTGCTGGGGTAAGTCCATCTAGAAGGTCTTTAACCAAATTGCTACCAATCACAGTCTTTGTTGCACCTAGGTCCACTACATCCATACAGCTGTACGTGGCAAACATTGCGGCATGTTCCCCTGGCAGGTTCAGTTCGGCATTTTGGGAAAGCTTGGACTGCAAAGGCACTGACTGGTTCAGCTTCGACAAACTCGATGTCCTCTGAGCTTCATGGGTCCTGGGCACGGCATGGCATGAAGGCATGGTTTTCCATCTTTTCAGAGTCTCTATCAGTCTAGCTTTGGCATTCATGTCGCCTGGCTTTTGAGGATAACATACAAAACACTGGCTAACATGTGTTGAAGGCACATCCACTGCGCTCTCAAAGGCTGGCAGATTCAGGAACTCGAGAGGTAAGCCATCGCTTTCCTCTTGCATCTGCACAAACGACGTGGGTGCTTGCGGTCGGGCTGATCCAGCAGATTCACTTCTGGATGGACATTCTGCCTTCCAGTGTCCTACCTTGCCGCACAATCTGCAGCTGGAGCTCAGAATGCGCTGTTGGAGAGATTTTCTGCTGGAGTGGTGACCCTTTTGGAACTTCCCCTTTACCCCTCGGTTATACCCCTTGGATTTACCCTTAGAGTTCTGGGAAAGCGGCCAAAACCCACGGGACTTGACCTTCTCACTCAAGCGTCTTCGCGCCTCAGTGTACGCGTTCAGCGCACTGGCCAGTTCCTCGTCGCCTTGGAGCACGTCCGTGGCTGCAGCTTCAAAATCTGCTACCAGAATTGCATCGGTGTCACCCTCCTGAACCAAGGTGTCGATCATTTCATCCTCCGGAATGTCATCAGGTGATTCGGCAAGCATGGCATGAGATGTTTCATCATCATCTTCCGTCTGATCTGCAACCATTGCTGTGGCATCATACGTTTTCAGTTTACCAGGTTTCTTTCCGGCTGTGATTTCATGGAAAAAGCCGGCACCAAGCATTCTGATTGCAGCTGACACACGAGGGATCGTGAGCTTGCCGTCTGAACTCACCTGACTGTCGATCACCACCCGTTTTTTGTCATCAGGGCTGAGATTCGAACCACGCAAAGTGATATAAGCCTGCAGCTCTTCCAGTTTGAACTCCTTGTTCAGCAATTCCTGCCAGAGAACATCTGCTCTGGCCAGATAACTGTCGTTTGTTTCATCCTGGCGCTGCGTGCATCTGAACAATGCGCGCTCTGCTGATTCGTACTTCTTCTCCAGTGGTATTTGGCCCCATTGGCCTCCCAGCAGTTCGATTATTTGTTGTATGGACTTCTTGTCGTTCACCGTAATCTCAGCACTTTTCTGTTGTAGTTTCTGGAATGCAGTTCCAGTACATCCTAAGATCAACCTGGTTGCCAATTCCGTCCACTTTCCGTCAGGCCACATGTTCATGAGCAGTTGCACTTTCTTGGTGTAGTCCGTGAGATCATCTTTGGCGGGGTCAAACGTAGGTACCAAATTGGCGATTTGATTGGGCACTAGAGTACTGGCAGTGGATCCAGCAGAGCCATCTGAGGTCTCAGGCATCTCCACCGCCAAATCCTCCCTGGATGCTCAGCTTGGAGCTGAGCTCCGCTACCAATGTGAGTCCCTTGAGATCTCAACACTGGCAACGGGCTTCCGTTCCTCCTCCCAAAGTGCAAGACCTGTGCGCCTTCTTTTCCCCAACAAAGGCGACAAGTCCACGGCAGCTCGAATGGAGCAAAAGGCTCCCAGGCAAAAGGTGGTCGGCTGACCTGCAGGCAGAATTAGGTTGCCTTCCTGGCAAATGGTATGGCCCCGGGCCAAAGCAGTAAACAGGTGAGCGTCCACGCTCAAGTCTATGGCTCAAATGCACTGGAAGAAACCCTCCCACCGGCAAAACCCTTATGGCCCTCCTGAGCCCCTGAGTGCTGGCGGACAAGTGGTTTTGTTTACCCCTTTCTTACACTGGTTATTGACCTTGGGATTATGAAGTGGAAAGGTAATGCAATGATATTGAATCACAATATATACATAAACATATATATATGTATAATATATATATATATATCATATTTATGTATTTATATATTTATCTATTTCCATATATACATCTAGATCATAAATATCTATCCATCATTCATTCTTATATACATATTCTAAAAGTAATTCCCCAAAAGATAGAAACAACCATCTGACTCAAACAGTGGTCCTATCCTTTTGGGGGTTAGTATATGGAAGGATGGCCTAAAAATTCCACAGCTGGGCCACTCCTGAATCAGTGCAGGAAGGGTCGCAAGCCAGGGATTTGGAGGAGCGCTTGAAGGCGCCAGGGACATCAGTTGGGGTATCATCCACCTGCAGTAAGGAAACATATGGAAAAATGATGAATGTTGATCAATCCAAAAAGGGGAAAAAAGAATCACTACAATTTTCTCTGGTTTCTGATATACACCATGTTATACCATGTTATACCAAAGGATGATCGATCCTATAAAGAAATCCAGGTTTTTCTTGTCATCTCAGAATTACCCGTGGGTGCTGAAACATTGCAATGAAAAATCCACCAATAACCTAAATCCACCAATGACCTATAATCATAGTTGATTTTCCCATGTTCAATATGTTCAATGCCCATTTAATTTAATGTCAACCATGGATTGACAAACTCCTAGGCTGTTTAATTGGGAGGCTACTCTTTAAGTATCAGATTATGACTAGTGGAGTATGCACCAAATTAAGAAACCATGGTCTATTAATCCGGGGTTGACATTAGAGTTCTTGGACTGGATTCCACCGCAGATTTTCGCATCTCAGCCCTGCATAGCCCTGCCATCCCTCCACCACAACGGCCACCATCCGCGCCATGTTGCGCCTCGCCACCAGCGCTGCGCTGCTGGGCCTGGGCGTGGCCATCCCGTGGGCGGATTCCACGTGTCAAGCCGCGCCGGGCTGCGAGGCCTTGCAGTTGGAAGGTGCGGGCGCAGTGGGATCCTGTGAAATGGGAGATTTATGCAATATGTAGAATGATTCGTGTAATCATGTTTGTGAATATACAATAATTATATATATAATTATATATATCTCTCTCGCTGTCTCTCTCTCTCTCTCTCTCTCTCTCTGTCTGTCTCTCAATGAATGGCACGCACCACATGGCACCCAAAATGAAATCCACTACTAAACCAATTTTTTTGGGGGGGTTGTAATGTTTAGCTGACGGGATTAGTAGCTGGCCGGTGTCACCTCAGTTGATTACATTGATTACATCATGGGCAGCAGGGAGTTGATGGCCGGATGCATATCCAAATCTCTGGGCTTATGGCCACACTGGGGTTACAACACTGTCACAGCTGGGTGTCTACAGGACTAGGGCCACGTCAGGAAATACTGGGGATGCAACCCACCATTGTGGTAACATGGTTGTAAAAACGCGACCTTTATTTGGTCGAGTAGTTTAAATCATGTTTGATTTGTCATCCTCACTTAGGACGGCAATCCCAAAATAACTTCATCAGATTGTTCGGATGGATTGAAATCAGCAACAGAGATATATATATATATCATGATATATCCCCACATTACATGCCAGTAGCAAATCTTCATGCCTTCCATGCCGGCCTTCGCTAGGTGAGTGCTGTCCGAATGAAGAAGGCAACTGGGGGAGGGCATACGGATGCTCAGAGTCGGACGACAGCACTGGCAGTACAGCAGTAGGTTACTAGTAGGTTACTAAGTCGGCATAGACCATTATGAACCATTATATCAAGCATGATATCAACCATTACCCTCTGGTTATTAACATAGCCATGGAAAAATGACCCATTTATAGATGATTTTCCCAGCTACCTCCATTTATTTTGGGGATTTTCAATGGCTATGTTTGTCATAGCCAGATGGTATTGACCATGATCAACCATTATTCACCTCCATGATGGCAGTGCAGGTGTCACATTGGATTGCTGTCAGTTGGCCAAGTGCAGCTCTCATCCGCAGTGCGCAGCACTGGGCCTCCTGGGCGATTGTGTCTTGGATGGATCCATTGGATCAACTTTTTTTTTTGCAATGCTAAGATCATGGGACAATCCCCACTGAACCTTGGTTTGAAAGGTTTGGTATATATGTTTGTATAGTTCAAGTCCGTTAACTTTGCAGTTGTTTTGGATGGGAACATCTGGGAGATCATGGGAAAACCATGGAAAAACCATGGAAAAGAACCATGTTCTTTGGCCAAAAAACGTCAGCATCTTTATTTCTGCCACCAGGTTGCCCTCCCACTGATGGCACCTCCCTCGACTGCTGCGACAGCGATGCCTTCGATGTTGGCGCCGGCAGCGGCGTCACTGCTGGTAGCACGGCGCCCCGCGAGGTCAGCACCATGCGGACCACTAGTGCCTTGGGCATGGTATTTCATTGCTCTTTATCATCTTTATCTTCCATGACATTGCATTTGCATTGCATTATGCTGCTACATACAAGTACATGCTCATATGCACGAGTATGTATATATAATTATATATATATATACGCAAAATATGTATAACGTAATGTATGTATATATATATGAATAGATATTTTTATGATGTATTTACATTTGTTTAAATCAGTAATTGTATACATATGTGCGGTATGTGGCAGATATGTATATATATATAATATATACATATATACACATTTGTGCGTATTGTGTATCTTTGTTGTGATGAAAAGCCCCTTGTAGGGCATCAGTGTATGTCCCTTTCTCATCACTTGACGCTTTGGATTTGCCAGGCTTTACATCTAGGAAAGTCTGAAGTCGTTGTTGAAGTTGTCCATAGGACGTCAAATGAGCTGAATTACTGGATATCTCCACGACATGGTTTATGATTATTAACAACATTTAACAATATCCAACAACATTTGACAGCATTTGACAACATTTACTGTATAAGTTATGATGATTAACAACATTTGGCAGCTGTTAACCATTTAATCATCTAAATTATTGATTGTTTTTTCATCCCATGACAAGCCGTTTCCGAAGCAGCGAGGTGTGGCTGCGGCTGTGATGCCACAAGAACTTCAGGCGTTCCAAGAGAACAGACCTGCTCAACCGAAACCAAAAGGCAATCGATTTGGGCCGATGTCTATGATCCTTGGATTGCTGTTTTGATCAACAACTTGCTGCTATCTATCAAGTT